GGAAAGTTTGATTCTTTCACTTTCAAACCAGTGTATTCAGTTATTTACTTTTCAAACAGCCCTATTCATCACAAAATGGCACGATTCTTCCTACATCACTATCAGGATCCAGGATGTCAGCCTGGCCTGTGGACTGAGTTACTATGTACCAACATTGACTCTGGTCCAGAAACACATCAGGCAAATGTGCATGAGGGTAAATACTAATAACGTAGCATTTAAATAACATTGCAGATAACCATTCTGTCTGTACAAACAAAGGGTAAAGGATAAATAGAGCACCTCAACACAACAGAAGAGGGACTGTAGGAGTCTGTTGTTTGCATTAGTGGCTTTCTGTCTGTTTTCAGCAGACACACGAGCTCTAACAGGAGAATCTGAGGGGCTGAAGAAGAAGGTCTGCAATGTGGCCGTTTGCAGATTTTGTCTAGTTTCACTTTTTTACAGCACCACTCATCGTCACAGATGTAGATTCATTCTTCTAACGTACTGTACAGTCTGGTTTTGTTAATGGGAGCCTCTGATTTAATGTTATCTTACATTCAATGTTGCTGTAAATTGTTGTGCTGAATTTGTTTTCTTAATATATACAAATGCAAAAAAACAAAAAATATGGATTGTGCAGTTTTTGAATAAATTTATTGTGAAAAGAAATTAATAAATAATGTTAAAAATAAGAGATTTTTTTTAAAAGTAGCTCAATCATACGTGAGCCACAGCCATGAATGGTGTAATTTGTTCCGATTGCATATTGTTTCCAGTTTATCTCCATGGCAGAATTCAGTTAATTCAGCCTTTTGTAAACAGGTAATGCTGCATGCTCCTTTCTGCAGCGTTGTTCACACATATTATACATTCATACTGCCTTGAAAAAAGAGAAAAGGGATTTGTGTATGAATACTAGCATTTTATGCACAACATGAGAGGGCATAATGTAAGAAAATTGGATATACTGAGAAGGAACGGAGGTGATCATGACTGGAGAGGAGTCATTTGAGCTCATGTTCAATACACTGAAGGCCAGGCTTCTTGAAACATCTGCGTTCCATATTAATATTTTGTGTTGCATATGACATCCCGCTGTTACTTCAAGAAGGCAAAGGTTTAGTTAGCACTGTTCTGATTGCTGTTGTTATGAGATTAAATGAAGCCAATTTAAACAGTGATCAGGTATATACTGTTGCATTTACATACAAAGAGCAGCATTAAAGCCTCACCAGTATTGGATTTGAAGCTTTTAGCTTTTTCTTACAGTAAACTGTTGATATAATACAGGAAGTAAATGTTTTTTTGGAGGAGGTGCCTTCTGAAATTTTTATGTCAAGATTTCACCTCTAAATTAAGGCAATAAACATATAACTAGGAAAATAACCCAGAATTACTGTACTGAACAGAAATACATTGTCTCTATTTTATTTTGAAAATTTCACAGTTACATCCAAAAATCTCAGTAAAATATGAGATAAAAGCTGTCGTGATTCTCTGCACTTCCTGTTACAAACTTTTGTCTTGGTACACTTCCGCTCCTGTGTTGGTTTGATTTTTCCTCGCTCTTACTGCCTTCTCTGCCACACTCTACACACACTCACCTGCCTTCCATCGGGGCAATCAGCCGCTCTGTATCTAAGCCAGCAGGCAGCATTGACTTGCTGTTATGCTGTCGCTGTAGAACTCGACTCCTGTGGCTTTCCAGCGTTTGTTTTCTCTGCTCGTCCTGGTTCTGGACCTGTTTACGTCTTGAACTCCGACCCCGCCTGGTCAAACTGCTGAGTTCACTTGTGAGTGGATGTTTGTTTTCCCTGGATCTCTGCTCAATGAGCTGTCCCTAGGTTCCTCTCTGCCTAAATTGTGTATGTTCTCCACTCCCTGGCTTTATTGGTTTGCCCAGGTGTGAACTGTTTTTTAATGATGAAGTGTTTCTGTTCCTGTGATCACAGCTTAGCTTGTTATGTGTATGTCTGGCTGTGTGCTCTTAGTTTAACCCCTCTTGTCAGCC